GATACAATTTATCTTCAACTTTTTCGGCGATTTCTGGCTCCCTCCAGATATCTATTAAATCACATTCCTGCGCATACGTCCAGAGATGGCGTTTCTTTACTGACTTTTCGGCCATCATTTGCAATATAAAAATTATAGTACACAGATCAGGGAGACTGCGTCAATTCTTAATGGTGTTTATGATAGTAACTAAAAAATGCGCTAACCAGCAAGCATGGAAGGTCACTTTGCTTCAATTTGATTGGTGTATTCGTGACCGTTGGCCACCCTCTGTTTAATGTTTACTGGCTTTAGGCTGGATTAAGAAGTTAGTCGACATAAATTTACTCGACGAGCTTAGTCGAGTTGTGGCCTTCATCTCGCCATACTTGAGCGGTCATACTCAAACTTATGGCGAGATCTTCTAGCTCATCCACTAAAATTATCTCGCCATAGTTGGATATGAACAGGGCTATGCAAAAACAAAACAGCACACATTTCCTGATAACTGAATGCCCATGTGGATAATGTATTAGGATATTACAGTAAAGCAGTATGGGGCAGAGACACACGCTTCCGCTAGGATCTTAGCTTTTTTTTAATGCAGTAAAAAATTATGAGGATTGGGTGTGTGCTTATACATAACAGTGTGATGAATTACATTCACATTATCAGTTCATTATGCAATATGCTTGGCTCATTAGGTCAATGAATATTGCGAATAAATTATGGAATAGTAAACTTAGCACTATTATTATTCTATGTGATCATATTGTTACTTTTGCTTTACTTGCGGTACTGTTTATTATATTTAACTAGTACGGCTCACCATTATTATTCTTCGGGAATTGTTTAGATTGATCAACTATATAATATAAAGCTATGTCCACACTATCAAATTTTCTTTGACAAAAAACTGTTGTATGCCCATATATAGCCATGATGGACCTAAATATGGTCGTGATGTGATGTCATCATCACCATATTTAGACATGGCGCTTATCTTTGTCCAATGAAATGTGATAGTCTGGACAGGGCTTTAGATGAACTGCAGCACACTTGTCAGAAATATTTGATACTCTTCCAAAGTTCAGAATTTTTATTTGGAATGTGGAATAAAAATTGTAGCTTGCTATATACTGTGCTTGGTTGCTATCTCAGCACACACTATTTTCTAGTGGGGGCCTTATGTTTTGAGTTAGGCAGTAAACTTGGACACGGTCCCCTTTAGCATGGCCCAAAAAGTGTACTATTGAAGCTTGTAATATGCTTACCTATTAAAACACAAATAGAGAGCAACGATGGAATAGAATCGTCAATAAAGGTAAGGATCTCGACGGCGGTTCAGCACACACGCAGGGCTACCTCTACTTTAGCTGACTTAGCTAAGCTGCTTCCTCACAGTTTATATTTATTATGTTTTAAAATGCAAGAATATATTTAATAGGTAGTGATGACCAATCGTAAATCAGTTTCTGTTTTTACAGTACACTTTGAGTTTGTGCATACTAACCTAACTACCTTCGCGAGGCAATAGATGTTGGAGGCAACCCTAACTTAAAAAAGATAACATTCCTGGGAGCTTACAAATGCATAAGAAAATGGATTGGTCAATGAACGGTGTAACAATAGCAAATTTCTATTTTAAGTTCCACCAATTTTGACATCTTTCATTGTTTGTAATGCTTATCATCTTTAAAATTAAGAAATATTAATTAAGTGAGAAAAATTTGTTTTAAAATCTTTTTTTCAAACTCTTTTGACAGTAAGTGATGAAGAACTCAAACGCCTCAGAGATGCGTTCAAGCGTTACTCACTTCCCTCCGGTTTCATGAGTCGACCTGTATTTGTGAAAGATGTACTAGGAGACTGCGTTCCACTGAAACTTGGAGAGGTAAGTTCAGCCAAAAAGCGAAACATGTTTAAAGCCAATAAAATATAAACATGATTCTTGTTTTTGTTTCTAAATCTTTTTAAACTGTGTTCTTTTTGTTATTCTTTCAATCGTGCATCCACCTTCTTAATTCTCCTTGCCTTTCCAGTGGCAGCCAACAAAGTGTAAAGTAATTCAAATAAGGAATTAAAATTTCTATGACTAGTAAGCTGTGGGAAAGGAGAAAATATCCCAGAGTAATAGACAAATTCTTTTTTTGATTGATTTGCAGAAACAAACAATAAATAAATACACTTAATAAACATTTTTTTTTTTGTATTTTGCCAGAATTATTCTAATTGCTCATAAACAGGTACATAAGAAAATGAATTTGTTGAAACTGGGTAGAATTTGAAAGTGGGTATTCATAATATTAAGTTCTTTACTCAATAACAAACAACTTTATTGTTGTGGAAGATGTTTAAGGATTAAATATTTTGTATTGAATTCAGTCCTATTGAAATTTTTAGTGTCTGTTGCTCTGGTAGAGTTCTTAAGAGAAGTCCAACATATTTTACTATTATTTAAACTTTACTTCATGCTCAATTTATTTTTTTACAATACAGTAAAAATGTATGAATTTAACTGCCTTCTTTGGTACAAAAAAAATGAAAGAGAGATCAATGATTAACATTTTGTTAAAAATGAAGTGTTTGTTTTACAACTAAATCAACAATAACACTTCACCATTCTGTTTTAGAATTGCATTGTTCACCGAATTCTACAGATCGATCAGTCCTTGTTTCGATAATGCAAATATAAAATAACATTTTATTTCTTGCCTTTCACTCTACAGCATATCCTGCCGCATTGGAAATTAGAAATTAAAAAAAAAATGTTTGTTTTCATCCTGCATGAAACTGCCATGATGTGAAATGTTGAAATAATTTTTTTCTTAGCAAATCTATACTGCTCTGCTACTGTAGTTGCTAGTGATGGCCACTCTTTACCTAAAACTGTCATAGTTTTTTATTTGTGTAAAATTTTATAATTAGTATCTCACCCTGAAGATCTTTCCAAAATAAAGTTTGCTAAATATTGTACAAATAAATTCTTGCCTTTAATAGTTAAAAAAAGGAAAATATTCAGTAACTGTAAAATCAAGTAAGATCGTAAATGCCTCTTGATTAAGCATCGCCCTCAAATAAGCACTACACCAAATATAATTTTTTTTTTTTTTGCTAAGCGTGTCTGTTAAGTAATCAATGTTGTGCGTATTAAAAGTGTATTTGAATAAATTGAGTTATCATTTCCCAATGTACATTGAGCTTGTATCATTGGGTCATGTAAACAGCAAATTCCTCATAGACTAAATAATTAATACTTAACAATTCAGATTGATTGCAACACATTACCATTTCAAGGTAGATATGGTAACATAGGAAACAACATATCAAATTAGCCAGCTTTTGTGCAGGTACCACACTGGAATCTTTTAAATGCACTGTGGTGTTTATTTGATTATTTGTGGTACATACAGTAAATATTCTTTTATTGATTTTTTATCATACAGAAGCCTAGCCTAGCCTGGCCTGGCCTAGCCTAGACTAGCCCACTTATTAATTACTTGAAATGGAAGAAACTTTTAACTTTAAAATAGTATTCCAAATTTTCTTAGTTTAGGTATCATTGAAAATATAATCAATTCATATGGAAGGATACATGGCAGTAAATCCAAAACATGTTTTATTAATATTTGGAATGAAAGTAATTTTTAAATTTCAAATATTATTCCAAATTTTCTCAGTTCACTATGATAAACAATAATAAATTCATACTCAGCATAGCCAAGTAGTCCCGGATTCTCTTCTCATGGTCACACAACATTATGAAAATTTGACAACATGAGAATAATCTTTAATTGGAAATTGGATTATGTCTTTTTGTAGGACAAGTAATTATTAGTTCAGTGTGATTATTTGGCAACTCCACAACACCTTGTCTGGTACATTACTAGGTGTTATAAGGCACATGTGAGCATAACAATCAATATGACAGTAGAATTGGCATCTTTTCACAAACCTCTATCAATTTCCTGATCCTCTGTACTGTAGGTTATTGTACTTTGGGTATTTATCAGTTAGTATTTGTGATTATTAGTCTTCTATCGTTAGATTTGATGTTTGACGCTACAACGCCTACACTCGCATCTTCTATCCAGATGGCATATCTTTACTCAATAATTGAAATTAAAAGTATTTACAGATTTGACATATATTCTAGGCGTTGGAATGTCGAAACACTAAAAGAAAAAGCTGTATTGTTGTTTTTTTTTCAGAACTACAATTCAGTATGGCATTCAAATGCATAGCCTTTTTACTTTCACTTTAAAATTTTTGTTGGGCCACAGAGAGGAAAATTTGTAAACAAATTTTGAGACACGAATTTTAATTTGACGCGATGTCAATTCTACGTTTGAAGTCCCCACAAATGGAACACTCCTTTATGAAAGGTCCAGACGTGAATGGTCCAGACATAGAACTTCCAGTGGGGCTAAGCTGATGAAGCTTAGGATGGAACAGTTTTACTTTTACACTAGACTTGACTACTGTATATTCATAGAGCGCAATAACTGAATTGCTGGATCAATAATTTTTAGTCTGACGACATCGTCCGATGAGGGGAGGTCCATGCTTGTCCGACAGGAAATATTCCTGACTGACCTCAAGCTAGTGCCACTACTAAACGTCAATAATGGCGTAATCTTGAAAACTTTCAGTTCATAGGCATTGTATTGTTATTCGTATCCATTTAAGATAAAATACTGTACAACTTTTCTTTGTGATATTGTTGATGTTAATATTTGAAAATTCCTCAAAAATTCAATTCACATTACTACATGAATATTAAAAGATTGTAATAATGCAGTTTTCACTGATTTTTTTTATTGATTTTTTATTAAGAAAGATAAATCTATTATTTTTAATGAGCACTTCTTAAATTTGCCATTTTGTAATTTCAATTTCATAGTCATAGGAATAAATTTAATACTGTAAATATTAAAATTCTGAATTTTATTCTCCAAAGTTGGTTACCTCAATAAATATCCTGAATACAAATTTGTATTTAAAAGAAAAAGGTAAATAAAAATAGTAATTTTTTACCATTCAATTTCCAATTTTTTGGTTTGGGGGGAAAAAAAATTTTTACAAATTTTTATAATATTTTTTGTTTGATCTCTTTTCATCCTATATTTAAAACACAACAAATATGTAGGCTTACATATCCTGATACAAAGTTACTAATTGGTTGTACAGTATTAGGAATTTTAAAGTTCATTACATTTATTCAGCAAAAAAAAAGCATTAACAAATCAATAGCTAGAAGCTGAGTCTATTACATTGCTTACTGTAGTATGATAATATGGAAGGCCTTATGGGTATTAATGCCAACAGAATTAAAATGAATCAGTATGATAAGCCATAGCCTTATGGAGCCAAAATTAGGTTAAAGTTCAAAGAATTTATAAAGACCAGCACTAGTATATTATATAGTAATGCATTTTTGCTTATGAATAGCTATGAATTTTAAAACAGGCTATGAACATTACATTTAGATGGTATCAGTATATGGGAATTTAATGCAATGTACAATAATAACACTGTGGCATTTAATACTGTATGCAATGTATGGGCATTTAATCATCTATCATTACAATTATATTTCATTGACAATAACATGCTGTAACTGCCAATGAAATAGAATATCAAAGATGAAACTTTTATATATAATTAGTTTAGTCGCAAAAAATAGTCTTCATTCATCTCTTCTTCAATTCTATATAATGGGAAATATTCCAATCAGTGATTGTAAAAACTTTATAAATATATTTCTTTGGGTATTTCTGTAATTTGCCATATATTTAATCCTAATGCCATTTGATGTCTCACATTTTTTATTTATTTTTTGTAATCCTGCCTGTCTGTAATTCTTCATAGTATTTGTGTATTTTACTTTTATGTAAGTCTAGGTATAAGGCCATTATGTCTCATTAATTCCATATGCCATACCTAAAAGTGAAAGCCTAACTGATACTCTATCCCATATTTTTTTACCTTTTTCCATAGTTCATACTTTTTAAGCGCTGTAAGACTCCTGTTAAAGAGTGCTATACTGTATAAATGCTAAAATGTTAATAATATTGTTATTATTATTGTTATTATTGTATGTTTGCACTGAAGAGGCTTAACAGACTCAGTAATAACATGAGAATATTATTATTATTATTAATATTATTATTATTGTTGTCTACTTCGTGAATACTTACCTGGATAAACCGAATAATTGCCTATTCTTTCTCACACAAGAAACACCCCTCGAAAAATAATAGAACAGTCGACTCCTGGCACCAAGTACAAGCGGCCCTGCAACCATGCAACTTCCTCATTCTTTTTTGATCTTACGAAATAGAAGCACCTCGATTATGGTTTCATTACTTTTATTATTATATAATTATTATTTAAGGATATATTTTTTTTATTCATTTTAAACTCATTTGCCAAAGATTGCCAGTGGTGAACTTAGTAATAATATGTTGTAATCCCATTCACAAGACGACAATTATTATTATTATTATTATTATTATTATTTTAAAAAACCAGTAGGTCCATTGATAAGTTTATGATAACTTAGTATAAAACATATTCCAAATAAAGTAAGACTAGCCATTTTGATTCAATATTTCGATCTCTTATTAGATCATCATCAGGAATGAATATAGATTCCAACATTACAAACATATATTCCAGAGGTGTTACAGAAAATTAACCAATGAGAAACAGTCAATAATGTAGCCTATAAGATTCAGAATTAAGTGTTGGTTATACATAATCATACAATAAAGTATCAATAAGCAAGCTTAATGATGTGATGAAATAAACAACTGAAAGTGAGAACTACGTAAACAATGATAGTTCTTTGGATACTTTCAGTCCATTGTTAAGTAATGGGTTGAAATGTCT